ATAAGATAAGTAAAATACATAGTATACTACATAGCGATGAGTGCTAAGGAGAAAAATTAAGGAGAGAAAGAGATAAGCTTTGGAGAGGAAGGTAGAAATTTTTAAATATGGTGGCCAAGCAAGGCCTCATTGAAAAGGGACCACTTGAGAAATACCCTGAAGGAAGCGAGAGGATGTGGGAGAAAGCGTACACCACACGGGAATGGCAAGTGCAAAGGCCCTGAGGTGAGAGTGTGCTGGCAGATTTGAGGACCAGTGATGAGCCCAATGTGGTTGAAGTAGAATGAACAAATGGGATTGCAAGAAGGATATGGGGGCAGGCAGGTAACCAGGGGTTAGACTGGGAGACCACTGAAGGTTTAAGCAGAGGAGTGGCATTTCAACAGGATCCTTCTGGCTGCAGAGTTGAAAGCAACTGAAAGGGGACAAGGAGGGAATTCCCTGGTGGTCCAGTGGTTAGGGCTCTGCGTTTCCTTTGCAGGGGGCATGGGTTAGATCCTGGTCAGGGAGCTAAGATCCCATCCCGGCGTGGCCAAAAAAAAAAAAAAAAAAAAAAAAAAAAAAAAAAAAAAAACCAGTTTAGCATGCTACTGTCCTTTCCATCTGTACTAAGCAAAACCATCGTCACCTCTCTCGGGCTCTGTCGGTAGCTTTCTAGCTGGGCGCCCTCCTTCCATTCCACTCCCTTCCCTCCCTAATCTACCTAATAGAGTGCTTGCCAAAGGCTGCTCAAACCTCCCCACTGCCCATTTGGGCCAAACTCAGTTAAGGTTAGAACTCTCTATGCACAATATGGTCCCACCTTACCCTCCCAACCTTACCTCCCAGGCTTCCACCATGCACATCCAACACACCAACCGCTATACACCCGCTCAGCATTTTCAAATACATCACCCCAGTCTGACCTTCTTGCCTTTGCTCTCTCTGACTGGAATACCCACACCATCCCACCTCCACCTACTGACATTCTCCCATTCTTCCAAGGTCCATCACAAATCCCACCTCCTCCATGAAACCTTTCCTGATCCCTCAACTAGATGTTCCCTCGCCTGCCTCTGACTCTCACACCATCTTCCTTTTTGGCCATTAGCATATTTCCATCTGTACTTGTCCTGTCTCCCTCAATGGACTATAAGCTCCCTGAGGGCAAGCCATGGCTCACTCATTTTCCGACCTGCCACAGCTTGGAGTACAGCAGCTTCTACAGAGTGAAGAGTCATTGAATTAAATGATGACATCACCCTCTAGTGATCAATACTCTATAACTTCCAATAGCCTCTTTAAATCAGTGCATCACCTCAGAGTAGCTAGTTTACTTAGGATGATAAATATATTCTACTTGAACACAAACAGAAGTCTAGCAGAGAAAGTCTGTTGTACTTTATGTTAATTAATAATGCCAAGAAATGAAGCTTAAAAGGTTAAAAGTGGACACAAAAATAAACATTTTCTTACGATTAACCGCTACCATAAGCTTTCTATTTAGGAAAATGCCCAGGTAAAGTTAGAAGACTTTTAAAATGCTGGACCTCAAACCTCAGGAAAATTGATCCACTTAAATATTTTAGCTGTTTATTTTTATGGGTAAGATGTTGAAGCAACCAATGCTAATCTCTTTATGGGACGGTGATGCAGACACACTAAAAATTCTACTTTCTCCTTTGTGGTGTTTTAAAAGTCTTATTCCTGCATAATTTATAATAAGAATCTAGAAACACTGAGTCAGATTTTCCCAATGTCTATCATTATAATGTGGAGGCAGAGGGTAGAAAGTGTAGTGTATTTTCTTCTTGCGTTCTCTGCAGTAAAACTTCTCAAGGAGCACCATTCCGTATGGCCTAAATCATTTTTGTTTTTAGGAACTAAAAAAATACTAACTTGGCCACCTTTCCACCTTCTCTTTGAAGAAGCTAATATTGATGTACAGATTTCAAATATAAAATAAAGACTAAAAGGAGCCTTACTCCAAAAAACAGGACAGGGAAAAAGAAGATCTGCGAATCAAACTCAGATTTAACTCAAAATGAAATCTTAGCAACCGCT